CAAGACAGAGCAAAACCAAGCAACACTGTACAACAAAACAGCAACAACATCAATCCACTGACGAAGAACAAATTAAAATATACCAAGCCCAACCTCTTTTTTTTTTTCATTTTTGAAACAGTCTTATTGACACATAATGCACATAGGATATAATTCAGCAGTTCAATAATAGCTAGAAGAGTGTACACCACCACCACAGCCCATTCTAGAGCATTTTCTTCTTGTGCTCATTGTTACTAGCTCCCCATTTCTCCCAGCCTCCCCTGCCAGACCCCTAAGAAGCCATTAATGTAGTCACTGTCTGCAGATTCCCCCATGCTGATTCCATATACTGAGACAAGATGAAGTCTCAATTTCTTAATATGTGTATGTGTGTGTGTACTTGGTGTTCAAATTATCATACAGCGATAATGTATGTATCTCTTTAACTGGTTAGGAACTGGGGGCAAATAGATTTTTTTCCCCCCGCTATTGTTGAGAAATAGGTATAAAGTATATGAACTTTTAATCAAGTTCTGAGCAGAAACTAATGTTGGTTAATATTTTTGTGTGCAAATTGGAAGTGAAGAATTACTATCTTTTTTGCCTATTTGTTACAGGAGACGAGATTATGAAAGCTACTTATGCTCCCTGCTGCTCCCTGCAGAATCCCGACGTGCTGCATTCGCATTGAGAGCCTTCAATGTAGAACTGGCTCAGGCTGGTATTAAAATATCTTAACATTTCATTTACAGAATGGTGATATTATGGGCTTAATGTTGAACAGTAAAGAAATATATTTATAATTTATATGTTAGAAAATTTAAAGATCTCTGCTGGTGATTTATTTCTCCTGCTAACTATGTAGTCTTAATAATTAGACTGTAAAAATACAGCTATCTGATGGACTCAGTGTTTCTGAAAATTTTATTTCTTCTAAGGCTTTTACCCTGTGAAACTGCAGAACAAACCTCAGTTTGTTCACTTGAAGAGGTTTGTCAGAATATCACTGCTTATCATCTCCAACAATTGTCTAACTGCTGTTTACATAGTGAGTGTTCCAAAGTGAGGTTGTAGCTCTAACGTAAAATAGGGAATGGAAGCAATTACAGCAAATTCGGAACTCAGATCATAATCAACCTACTTTCTAAAAATATTTTGTAGTGCACTTTTAGCTTTCCAGAAAAAAATAGCAGAAATTCCAAGTTTCCAAATACTCCTACCTTCTGCATACAATTGCCCTTAATGCTGACTTCTTAATTAATGTGTTTGTAACTATCAATGAGCCAATATTGGTTATTACTAGCTTTTTAATTCCCATTAGGGTTCACTCTTTGTGTTTTATGATTTGTGTTATGTACCGTTATATTATCAAGCAGAATATCCTTGACACTTGAACAACATTGGTATGAACTGCACAGACCCCTTTATACATGGATTGGCCCCCACCCAGCCCTGTTGTTTATTCAGCTAAGTATTGCAACTGTCCGCTTAAAGCATGGTGTGATGCTAATCATTTCTCTATGTGTGGTTCTCCAGTCAGTGGAATTGGAAGGGTGGAGGATAAGCACCCTTACTAGAAAGAGTACCCACTCGGCTTTTTAAGCAGATACTCCCAATATCACCTGTAAGTGGGCCTTTGCAGTTCAAATGTGTGTTGTTCAAGGGTCAGCTGTCAGTTAAGCATGGATATTCTATCATGTGGCAGCTGGCCACCCATAGCACCTGTATTGTTCAAGGGCCCATTGTTGTTTTATTCCCCTAAAAATTTCTCGGTCTTCCACTATTCACCTTTCTCCTCACCCTCATATCTCCCCCATACCATGGCAGCCACAGTGTTTTTATTGTCTTTATTGTTTTGTTTTACCCAATCTAGAATGTTGTGAAGTTGAAATCATACTGTATGCAGCATTTTCAGATTGGTATGTTTAACTTGTAATATGCATTTAAAATAACTGTGTTTTATGACTTGACAACTCATTTCTTTTTGTCACTGTACTGTTTCATTGTGTGGATGTGCCACAGTCGATCTGTTCACCTACTGAAAGTCAGTGCGGTTGAGTCCAAGTGTTGGCAGTTATTAATTGAGCTGTTGTGGGGACATATTTTATTTATTTATTTATTTATTTTAAAAGTCATTTTATTGGGGGCTCGTACAACTCTTATCACAATCACATCCATTGTGTCAAGCACATTTGTACATTTGTTGCCATCATCATTC